TTTTTTTTGAGCCAGGGTTTCTCAGTAGCTATAAAGCCAGTACTAAAACTGCCCTGTAGAGCAGGCTGGCCTTGAGCTCACAGAGATCCACCTGCCTCTGCCTCCTGAGTGTGATGCAGGTATTTCTTTGGATGAGCCTCCTTCTGCACAAATGACCTTTGTTTGGGTCAAGTTGAGCAAAAATAGCCAAAGAACAGTTTAACACTTGAGAAATAAAACATGAGGCTCTCGATATCAAAATTGCAGCAATCCAGAGGAAAAGCCAGTGTTCTTGCTTGGAATTTTCACTCCTTTTCATTTTCTATTGTTTTTATCTTTAATTGTATATAGTTATGTGTCTCTGGTTGGTAATATAAACGAGAGTACGGGTGCCACAGGATCTAAGGCGCACAGGATCCCCAAGGAGTGGGAACTATAGGCAACTGCAGATGGACTGACGTGAAAGCAGAGTCCTCTGCCAAAGCTTAACAAAGCCATCTCTCTAGCCTTTCTTTTGAGACAAGATAACTAACCCAGATAAGAACTAGAATTCATTTTGTACCCCAAGTTGGTCTCCAACTTTCAATTTCCCTGCCTCACAGTGGTGGCCAGTGTGCATCTCTCTGCTAAAACTATTCCATGAAATTCCATTCCAGAACTGTAACACTGTTCTAGAATGAAAGGAGCTGGGGGCCTATCTGAAAGCAGGAGGGCCTCAATTCTTGAAGTGCATGCTTCGGACTGCCAGCTAAACAAGTTATCACCCAAGACGAGGCCTCAAAGACGCCACAGCTCAAGCTTCCCTCCAGAACTGAGTATTTCAAGAAATGTATGCGGTATTTAGCCACGGCGAAAAGGAACCAGAGTTGAAATATAGAATTGGGACGGTACATAAATTTAGAGGATAAGGGGATTCATAACCAAGGCAGAGTCCTGACGACTTTGGTCCAAAACCTACACGAAACTAAAAAGGCCAAGTAACAAACTGAAGCACAAACATGGGGTCAGCGAGGGTAAAAGTAATACAAAAGGGAATAGGTACAGCAACTACAATGTTAAAAAAAATATGCAGAGGCCAAGAGACTGGGATGTCTAAAATCTAACGCTTTACCGGCCTTAGGAATGCTGATAAAGACGTACACACTCTTTTACAGAAAATGTGGGTGGCTCTGAAAAGAGCCGTTGGGTTCAGCTTTGCATCCAGTGGCCTTTATGCCCTCTCCCCGCGGATACGGCGAGCCAGCTGGATGTCCTTGGGCATGATGGTGACGCGCTTGGCGTGGATGGCGCACAGGTTCGTGTCCTCAAACAGACCCACCAGGTAGGCCTCGCAGGCCTCCTGCAGCGCCATGACGGCCGAGCTCTGGAAGCGCAGATCGGTCTTGAAGTCCTGTGCGATCTCGCGCACCAGACGCTGGAACGGCAGCTTGCGGATCAGCAGCTCGGTCGACTTCTGGTAGCGCCGGATCTCGCGCAGCGCCACGGTGCCGGGCCGGTAGCGGTGCGGCTTCTTCACGCCGCCGGT